TCCGAAGCGAAAGGATCGTGGGTCAGCGCGAGCCACCGTCTGCCGAGCTCTGCCGGTGTCTGCGCGAGCTACGGAGACCCGGGGAGGGGGAGGGCGAAAGGGTCGGTAATGCCAGGGCGGAAACACAAGCCCCGGGCTTCCAGGAGCCAGCGTGCGGGCCCTGCACGCCGACGCCGCCGCAGCGCCGCTGCACACATCAACAACCTCACGTCGATCAAACTGCAATTGCTTATACTCTTAATAAAGCGTGAGGTTTTTTTGGGGGGGGGTTGGATTGCATAAATATAAATGTGTCGTTAAACCTGCCACCACCCGATACAGCCAATTATTAAGGTTTGTAGCGTAAACAAAACGTGCCAATTAGTTACTAGTTCAACACACCGGTTGTGTGTTGGAGAGTAAACCCACTACTACATTTACAATTCGAGTACCGTGACGTTTCGCCGGTAATTACAACAACAACCAGCCTCATCAGGCAACAGCCAGAATACTCGGCGCCGGATTCGGCCAAAATGTACGACATGCTTACAAGGGCTCTGAACCACCACCACCACCACCTTGTCCCAGCCCGCGACACGCGGCACGCTGCACCCACACGTCCCCTCGATGTCGCTACGAGCCGTAGTACGAATCTTCCCAGATCGTTGAGGCCTTGCTCGATGTACGACCGAGCCGTTCCTCGTGTGGCATTAAGCCTCTGGAAATATCCCTCCCACGAGATCTCGGGATCTCTGAACCTCTGGACATTTTTTTTTTAAACGGCTTTAAATCTTCCATTTGTTCAACTTTGAACCGATTCAGAAAACTGCTTTCATTATTTCTTATTAGTTAAAAAAATATATTGGCATGCTGGATGTCTGCTTGCTGTTTCTTGTCCATAGCTTCGAGATCCCTGATGAAAGACGATTTGTAAATAAATATAATTACGAGCAACACGATGATTGGTGACCCAGAACCCGGGGTTACAGTGACGAGCATGATATGGGCCTCTACGTGAGTCTATGGGTCTCTGTGTGAGTCTGTGGTTCTCTATGTGAGTCTATGGGTCTCTACGTGAGTCTATGGGTCTCTACGTGAGTCTATGGGTCTCTGTGTGAGTCTATGGGTCTCTGTGTGAGTCTATGGGTCTCTATGTGAGTCTATGGGTCTCTACGTGAGTCTATGGGTCTCTACGTGAGTCTATTAGACCCCGATCTAATTACCGTGGTTGGGGCTGAAACTCAGATTGGTATTCTGGACCTTAGCAGTGCCGGCTCCTCATCGCTCACTGTACCGAGCCACCCGGCCACGTCACTCACTGTACTGAGCTGCTGGGTCGTGTCACTCACCATACTGAGCCGCTGGGTCGTGTCACTCACCGTACCGAGCCACCCGGCCGCGCCGCGCACCGTGCCGAGCCACCCGGCTCCACATCGCGCTCACCGTACTCTTCGTTGCGCCAACACCAGAGAGTGGAGCCCCGGAAGACGCCGAGCGGCATCACGAGGAGGAAAGAGGGCAGCCGCGACGTCCTGGCAACCATCCTGCGTCTGCAGGAGACCCTGGCGGCGCACGCGAAGGAGGCACCGCAGCAGGCGAGCAGCGCGACCTCCTGCACCGCCGTCGCTGAGGTCCACGGTTGCAAATCCGGCGGACTCACCTAACACGCCCCCCTCCGCGGTCATTGGCGCTTCGCGAGAGCAGGCCACCGTGTGTGCCACGGGCGTCACGTACATCACTCATCACTCATCACCACCTCCACCCCCCCCCCCCATCACGCTCACTGGCAAACAAATGCCCCCAAGTCGCTCTCGCGAATGAGACTCCTCCGAGCCGCACACAGCACTCGTGGCGAGCATGCAACCAGGGCAGAAACCTGCTCTCGTCTTTCATACTTTGAGACTCATCCCGGCCTCTTTGAGTTCTCGTCGGGTGACACCGAGTGAAGGTACTGCGCGCGAGCGGCCAAGCTGAACGTTCACCACCACCCCCGCTGTCGTCTCCCTCTCTGGCAGGCGGCGGCAGCAGCGGAGCGAGGGACAAAGACGCGGGGTCCTGACGCCTCGGGGACACCAGCGCCGGGTAACTCACGTGGGGTAACGCACGTGGGGGTGACGCACGTGGGGTTAACGCACGTGGGTAACGCACGTGGGGTAACGCACGTGGGGGTAACGCGCGTGGGGGTGACGCGCGTGGGGTAACGCACGTGGGGTGACGCACGTGGGGTGACGCACGTGGGGTTAACGCACGTGGGGTGACGCACGTGGGGTTAACGCACGTGGGTGTGACACACGTGGGGTGACGCACGTGGGGTGACGCACGTGGGGTGACGCACGTGGGGTGACGCACGTGGAGTGACGCACGTGGGGTGACGCACGTGGGGTTAACGCACGTGGGGTTAACGCACGTGGAGTGACGCACGTGGGGTTAACGCACGTGGGAGTGACGCACGTGGGGTGACGCACGTGGGGTGACGCACGTGGTGTGACGCACGTGGGGGTGACGCATGTGGGGTGACGCACGTGGGGTGACTCACGTGGGGGTGACGCACGTGGGTTGATGCACGTGGGTTGACGCACGTGGGGTGACGCACTCGTGCGCGTGTACTCACTCACACTCGGGTGGACTATGAGACGCCGCTGCCACCGCCTTACAAGACCCTAAGTGGGCTTAGCCCCGCAATATTCACAGGAACTCATTCCGTGCCGACTCTCCCAACGAGCTCCCTGTGATCTTCGTGCCCCCTGCTTATCCCCGTACTTATCCCCGTACTGTATAGCACTTACCCCAACAGCCTTCACAGGCTCCACAGGCCTTCACAGGCTGTTGGGGTAAGTGCTTTGGTGTAGCTGACACCACACCCAGCCACATTTGCCTCTCCATTGGTGACGTTTAAACACTCATTTATGCAGAGTTGACCCTTAGCGAGGCCCAGGTCCCGTTCAGATATTCGTCACTGATGCTGACTCCGTGCCCCTACTGGACATCAGTGAAAAGGAGCTTCATAGCTCTTCGGATTCCTTCTCCAGGGACAAACGAAGATTCTCAGTCTTAGCGTGAAGCTTCCTCACGCGGTCGAGATGTCCCACCCTGCCCCCCCTCTCTCCCCCCCCCCCCCCCCCCCCCCCCCCCCCCCCCCCCCTGGCAGCAGCAGGAGGAGTGGATGGCGATCGCGCGCCGGGCGGGGGAGGCCGCGGAGACCTCCGCTCAGCGCTCACCGATCTCCAGCAGCACATCCTGGTGCTGTGCCAGCAGAACCAGGAGCTCCGGAACTCCCAGGTGGGGGGCCGGGGGGGCGGCTCGCGACGGCCGTGCCGGCTCCGCTCCGGTGACTCGCCGCCGCCGCCGGCACCGCCGCCGGTCGCTATCGGTTGGAGAGGCTCGCGGAGAGCGCTCGTCACGCCGGAGAGTGAATTGCCAGGACGGGAGCCAGCGTGGAGCACTAAGGGAGGGACTTGGGTTGCGATCAGGACTCGTGGTGAAGAGGAGGGTTGGAGTCCTTCGTCGGGTTGGGAATGGGGACTTAGGGTTAGGGTTGAGGGTCAGGACGGGATCACGGTTTGGAGATCGGGTCCGGAGCAGGTTAGGTGACGATGGGTGATTTGTTTATCTTTCCTATACCTTTCACCCCTATCATGCTTTTGTATTGTTGCTGTGCCGTTCTTGCCCTGTGCCCCGACTGGACGTCTGTGAAAAAGAGTTTTACAGCTCGTCAGATTCCTTTGGCCCATTATCCGCACGGCCTTCTGGGAGCGCGTAAGTTCAGCAGAAATTGATTCAGTGCAAGCAACGCTCTTGGGACCGGATTGGGAAACGCGGCGTCTCATCAGCGGAGCGAGGCGTTCGGGAATGGAGGTGGGCTAAGGGATTTTTATTCGCCGTTTCTCTCGTCGGTCGACTCGTCAGGCACGTAGTCGAGTCACACGAGTCGCTTGACCCAGCGCACCGCGCACCCACGCGTCGCTTCACTCGTCGCGTTCGCTCACGTGGTGAGTCCTCGACCCCCCCCCCCCCCGATAGCCCGCCCGTGGAGAGCCTTGCCACGGCGGTCTCGCGGTTCGCGCCCAGCGGGTCCGTCCCAGTTCATACTGCGGGGCGTACCAATCAGCAAATAGCCCCGCTCGCAGCGGCGTCCTGAGGTCCCGTGACGCGATTCGAATCGAGGGCAGCCCTCCCGCGTGCCGGCGTCGCGCTCCAGATTTACCAAAAAGCCACGCGCGACTTACTTCGTCGGGGTAGATGCACGACGCAGCGTCGCCCCCCCCCCTCCCCCCCCCCACCGGTGGAACCACGGGGCCACCGTGGGTGAGCACCGCTCCGTGGGAATGGGTTCTTGCGGTTCGAAATTTGGGCTGGACAAAAAAAAACCCCCACGCTACCGGAATCCGGCACTCAACGCCAGCGCCGCCCGTCCGTCTGTCGTTGTCGTCGTCCCCAGGCCAGGCCGGGGGCGCCGGACGAGCCGACGGCCGGGGGCGCGGAGCTCGTCCCAAAATCCGAGCTGGACTCTCGCATCGCGGAGCTGGAGAGCCGCCGGCGCGAGCTGGAGTCACGCGAGTCAGAGCTGGGGGCCGCCCGCGGGCAGCTGCGGGCCGTGGAGACCGAGGTGGAGTCTCTGCGGGCGGAGCTGGAGTCCGCCAGGGTGGAGCTCCGGGCAAAAGACACGGAGCTGAGCCGCGTCGAGGCGGAGCTGGGATCCCTGCGGGCGGAGCTGGAGTGCGCCCGGTCCGCCGGGGCCTTGACGGCGGCAAAGGCGGCGACAGCGAAGAGGGTGACGTGGGAAATCCCGGAGATAACCGAGACGGCGGACGACGACGAGAGCGACGAAGCGGACGCCGACGCCGTGTCGGACTCCGACCTGGAGAGCAATTTCTTGAGGTTCACCAGCAAAGCGTCGTCGGCGCGGCGCAAGCAAGGCACGTGGCTCTCCTAACTCTCGACGCCCCCCCCGCACCTCTCGCCAACGCTGGCGAATGTTCCGTCGTCGTCGTCGTGAGTGTTGGCTAGAGATGCGACGATCGATGAGGCTCCCGATTTTCCGTTTGCCTCCGCTCCGTTTCGTGTCCACTCCGTTGGCCTCGTTGCGGCTCTTTCGCTCTCTTCTCCCGTCCAGCCGCTCGACGGAATTCGCGCTGGCAGCAGCAGCGGCAGCCACCCTCCGCTGTTGCCGATCATCGTCATCATCATCATCATCATCGTCGTCGTCGTTGTGTCCCGTCCGCTGCTGATGTTTCCTCATCATTCCTCTCCAGCGCCCCCTCCTTTCCTCGGTCGCCCTCTACCCTTCGTTTCCTTCCACTCAGAGTTGCCATTTGCTCTTGCCGGGATTGCTGTCGGGTGGTGTCCCGTCCGCGTTCTTCAATTCCGTCCATCAGCGTTGGCTCCGTCGTCACGCCCTTGTCGAGCGTGGCATCAGCGAACCTAAGCGTCCGTTCGAATCGCGAATCGTCGTTTCTCACGCGAGCGACGATCCCCGCACGGGGAATTCTCCCCGTCAGGGGAGAATCCCCCGCGCGGGGGAATTTGTCGCGCTCCCCTTGCAGGCGCCATCCGCGGGTCGGACGCCGGCGGGTCAGAGGTCGGGGGGGCGACTCCCGGGCAAGGGTCGGAGGTCGCGGGGGAGGTGGCGGCGGCGGGGCCGCCCGCGCGGCCGAGCGAGGCGACGTCGCGGTGCGCGCTGGCGCCGGCGCCGGCGCAGGAGGAGGAGGAGGAGGAGCAGGAGGCGTCGCGCCCACGTGAGTAGTCCCTGCCGGGCGGCCCCGCGAGCGGAGGACGGAGCGACGCCGTCTGACCGCGACGGGAGCTCGCCCGCCGCGCGGCTCGGCCGAGGTGCGGCGTGCGATATTGTACGAACATTCACCTAACCCGTCGACACGAGCGTACTCGGTTGAGGTCCCAACGTCGGCGGCGTCCTTTTGCATTTCCCCCAAATGTTGGCCGGCCCGCGATGGCCGCCGCGCGGAGCGTCCCGCACGGCGACTCCGGCAGGGGCGACGCGTCTGCGTCCACCGCGAGGAATGCGTTGTGTGCGCGCGCGCGCGTTTGGTTCATTGCTCCCCTCCCTCGGCTCTCTCCCGTTTTGACGGCGGCAAGCGCCGCTCGTGGCGGTGGCCGCGCTGGTGGACAAGTGCGTGGGCACCGACCCCGTCGTCGCCACCGAGGGGACGCGGCGGCGCCACGCGCCGGCGCACGGGGAGCCAGTCGACGGCTGCGAAGAGGAGGACGAGGAGGAGCGGGAGAACGAGACGGAGGAGAACGAGGTGGAGGAGGAAGAGGGGGGGAAGGCGGCGGTGGCGGGAAGGAGGGGACGTCCGGGAGGAGACGATGAAGATGGCGGGGACGAGGAGGAGAGCGGGGTGAGCGGCGACGAGGTTATGGGTTCGATCCCCGGAGCTGCTGGGGTGTCTCTGTCTGTCTCTCGGGAGTTTCGTAATGGCCACGTGGGAGCCGTTAAATAGCGCGCCGATTGAAGAAAGAAAATCATCCACATGCTCACAGCGCACGATGAATAGGCGCGAAAAAGTATTTTTCTCAATTTGCACAGAAATGCGCCGAATTTATTTATCAATTCGTTAGCACGCGGCGCCTTCCTGCCACGAATCTGCTACGCAAAGCACCGTCACATCGACGACCCCTTTTGTAAATCCGCACCGGATGAAGGCCTCCCCACGCCGGCCAGTGCGGGTTGCTCACGGGAGTGGGGCGGCTTGGGGGGGCTGGGGGGGGTGGGCAGGGCCGGTTGACGGCAGCCACGGGCGGGATTCGGGAACGGAGCTCGGCTCGCCAGCGTCCGCTCGCGTGCCAGGCCACGGTCCACCTCGCAAGAGGCCCCAGCGGCCGCTCGCGAACGCCTCGACCCGCGCTCTCTTTCCGTCCGACCACCCCCCCCCCCCACCCCCCTCCCACCGGCAGGCCACCGGGCGCCAGCGCTTCTCCGACCTCGAGCGCCGCTTCTCCGAGCTCAGCGACGGGTACCGCCGCGCCCGCGAAGAGCGTGCGGCGTCGGCGGCCGAGGCGCGGAGCCTGCGCTCGGAGCTGGCGTCCCTCGGGGAGCGGCTCGGCGAGGCGCGGGCCGAAGCCGACCGCCTGCGCGCCGAGCTCTCGGACGGGCGGCAAAGCGGGCGAGACGGCGGGCGGACCGCGGAGCTTCGACGGCGGCCGCCGCCGGAACGCGACGGCGGCGACGGCGACGACGGCGGCGACGGCGGCGCGGCGGCGGCGGCGGCGACGGCGGCGGCGGTGGCGGCGGCCGAGGCCCTCGAGGGGCCGGCGAGCGCCGTCTCGCGCGAGCTGGAGCGCGCGACGGCGCTGCTGGGGGAGCGCGACGTGGCGCTGGCCGCGGGGGAGGACGTGGCCCGCCGATTGTCGGCACGCGTCCAGGAGCTGGAGGCGGAGCCGCTCCGGCGGACGGCTCGGGAGGAGGCGGCGGCGGCGGCGGCGAAGGCGGCGGCGGAAGGGAAATCGCAGGCGAAGGGCGCCAGCGAGCTGGAGCGGCTGGAGAAGACCAGGGTTGCCCTGGAGGCCGAGGTGAGTGCTGTACGCTGAACCTCTTTGGCACCGGACGTAGCCGACCGCGCTAAGCGGCGGTGGAGGTTCTGCGACACGGCTGGAGTTGGCGTGCAGCGGTGAGGGGCGGTCACGTGACCCTCGGTGCCCACGAGGCAGCTTTCGCACGACGGTGATGACGACGACGATGACAATGATGACAATGATGATGACGATGATGACGGTGATGATGACGATGATGACAATGATGACAATTACAACGACGATGATGACAGTGATGATGATAATGATGACGATGACGGCAGTGATGACGATGATGATGACCGCATGGGATTGTAAAGTGTGAGATGAAAGTCGCTGCCTTAATGTTTAAGCAACGCCCGATGAACTAAAACCACCGAATTCTAAATCCTTCAGATGGGTTTTCATGTGGGCGGTGGTGGCTATGCACGCCGGTAATCCAGCACTGTGTAGGGAGCAGTGAGGGTTGGTGGATTACACGCAGATGTTGTTGCGAAACTCCCTTCCCCTAGCTCCCCAGCAGAAATGTGGACTCCACCTGTTGCGTCTGTTTGGGATAGAGCGTTGCCCCCTCACACACGCGAGTTTACTGCCGGTATTCCAGTTTCCTCCCACGTATAAACACTCATTGGCTAATAACATGTTGATATATATAGAGGACCACAGAGCTTGGGCATTGTTAGTGGCGCCGGCTCCTCGCCACCGCTTGGCTTCTACTGCTGCTGCTGCCTTCCCGCTCCTCATCCGTGGTTCCTCCTCTCGGCGCCCCCTCTCAGTCGTCCTCTCTATCTCTCTCTGAGAGTCGTCCTCTCTCTCTCTCTGAGAGTCGTCCTCTCTCTCTCTCTCTCCCCCAGTCACCCGCTCTTCTCTCGCCTTTGGAGAGCGAGGAGCGGATACCGTGCGGCAGTGGCGGTGCAGCGTTACGAGCTGGCATCGCCACCATCGCCATCGTCGTCGGTAACCGACGCGTAACCCCCGCGCGATGCCCGCCGCCTAGGTGGAGACGCTGGGGCGCAAGCTGTCCGTGCTGTCGGCGAACCACGAGAAGACGAGCTCCGAGGTGTTCCGCGTGCAGCGCGAGGCGCTCTACATGAAGACGGAGCGCGACGCCGCGTTGGCGCACGCCGACGCGGCCCAGCGCCGCATGGCCGCCCTCCTCGCCCGCGCCGAGCCCTCTCCCTCCCCCTCCTCTTCCTCCTCCTCGTCCGCCGCCCGCCGCACCGACTCCCGCTCCGTCACCTTCCACGAGCCGCCGGCGCCGGCGAAAGGGAGCGGTGGGACGAGGGGCGACGCGGCGAGAGAGAAGGACGGGCGGGTGAGCGAGCGGGCGGGCGGGCGAGCGAGCGGGCGGGCGGGCGGCACGGCGTCAGGATGTCCCGCATCTCCCTGGGAAGGGGGACGTTGGCCGGAGGCGGTGGGAGTTGCGGTGGCGCTCCGACTCCCACGTTCACGCTCGCGATTCGTTTCTCCCTCGCGTCCTTCATGACGCGGTAGTCGTCGTCGCGGTCCGTGGCCGGCCGCATTTACGGTGACTCAACTTAAAAGCATTTCAGGGCCGCGCTGGTTCCCAAACACCACCTCTAGAGGGCGCTGCTAGACGAGCCATCGTCACCACCCACACCTCACCTCGTGCCTCTCCATCCCTCTCCAACCCCCCCACCCCCCTGACCCCCTGCACCCCCCCCCCCCCACCGAGCAGATCAAGGAGCTGCAGGAGGAGGTGAACGAGCTCCGTCGGACCCTCCGAGGGGTCGTTCCTCCGACTGCGGCCACCGCCGCCACCGGCGCCACGCCGCCGCCGCCGCGGCGGTCCGGCGATCCGAGCCGCGAGGGCCGCCCGGGCCGGCAGGTCGCCGAACTGCTGGCTCAGATTGGGCAGCTGCGTCGGCAGAAGGAGGTGCGGGAGAGTCGGCGCTGCTGGCGGCGGTGGCAGTAGCGGTGATAGCGCTGCTGATGATGATGGTGCAGACAGTGGTGATGATGATGATGAAGCCAGTGATGATGATGATGTAGGCAGTGATGATGATGATGATGCAGACAGTGATGATGGTGCAGACAGTGCTGCTGATGATGATGATGCAGACAGTGATGATGGTGCAGACAGTGGTGATGATGATGATGATGCAGACAGTGATGATGATGATGCTGATGAAGATGATAATGTAGGCAGTGATGATGATGATGCAGACAGTGATGATGGTGCAGACAGTGGTGATGATGATGATGCTGATGATGTAGGCAGTGATGATGATGCAGACAGTGATGATGGTGCAGACAGTGGTGATGATGATGATGATGCAGACAGTGATGATGGTGCAGACAGTGGTGATAATGATGATGAAGCCAGTGATGATGATGTAGGCAGTGATGATGATGCAGACAGTGATGATGGTGCAGACAGTGGTGATGATGATGATGATGATGCAGACAGTGATGATTGTGCAGACAGTGGTGATGATGATGAAGCCAGTGATGATGATGATGCTGATGATGATGTAGACAGTGATGATGATGATGATGCAGACAGTGACTTTGGCTATGATCATAAACTATTAAAAAAAAGTTTTATTTTACCAGTTAGGGTCCACTAAGCTGTATAGCTCTTTTTCAGAAGCGACCTGCTCACAAATGATAGCACAAGGAAGTGGCTTATCACGTGGGAATGATTCGCAGCCAAACACTCCAAACGCGTGATGTTGATTATGAATGTGGAGGGAAAAACAGGAGGACCCGGAAAAAATCCACGCGACCACGGGGAGAGAGAGACACGCAGACTCCAAATATACAGCAGCAGCAGTGTCGGGATCGAACCCACGACCTCCTGTGTACCAGGCGAGGTAGTTAACATCTCCCTAGCCACCGTGATGATGATGATGAGAGAGAGAGAGACACGCAAACTCCAAATATACAGCAGCAGGCGTCAGGGTCGGGATCGAACCCACGACTTCCTGTGTACCAGGCGAGGTAGTTAACATCTCCTAGCCACCGTGATGATGATGAGAGAGAGAGAGAGACGCGCAAACTCCAAATATACAGCAGCAGGCGTCAGGGTCGGGATCGAACCCACGACCTCCTGTAGACCAGGGGAGGCAGTTAACATCTCCTAGCCACCGGCGGCTACCATCAAAGCGGTAGTGTTAGCGTCGGCCCATAATAGGCGCTCGCTAACCAGCGGTGCTTTGCGTGCGTGCTTGCAACCGTTGCCGCCAGGAGGAGGAGAGAGTTCACAAGGAGGTGGTGGACACCTATCGAGCTCACCTGATGTGCGCCGTGCAGGTGAAACGCCACTCTCGCCACCCCGCTCCAACACACACACACGCACACTCCTTTGCTGGCAATCAACATCGTGTGCAAGCACAATGTGCATGCATAATGTACGTTGATAACCGTATTAATAACCCGATCGGTAATGGATACCCATTGTAATGTATATGCATTCATCGTCTGAGTAGCTCACAAGGGACATCATCACATCCACTTAAGAACGAAACAGGAGGATGTCTCCACGAATCTGTCTGTCGCCATGCCGATGCTGGTTGTCTTTACTCGCGAAACGTCGTACTCTGATTGTGAATGTTGTGGGTTTGCTCTCCAACACACCGGTTAATGCTGTACTCGTAACGAGTTGGCCACGTTCTGTTTACGTGACAACCTTTACTGGTTGGCTGTTGGGTGGTGGCGGGCATAGCGACACATTTATAATTACGCGATCTAACCCAAAACACCCTCTATTATGGATAATTATTATACGAATTATCAAACTTTACTTTTTTTTAATCCAGGAGAGCCACACGACTGAGTTGTAAGAGTTGTTATTTTGTTCCGGAGGGTCCCCACTGCCACGCGATTGCGTTTTTTTGTTTAATTTGCGAGATGTTTTCAGCCGATTTAATGACGAGTTGTGTTTAAGTCTCACGTGCGAGGAGGAAACCGGAGCGTCCGGAGGAAAAAAAAACACGGGGCGGGGTGGGGGGGGAAACGCTCGATCCCCGTGCAGATGGAAACGGATGTCGATTAGTCCACTATGCCGTGACCGCCTCCCTCCTGGCGAGCCAGGGGGGTACGGCACCTCCTCGTCGACGCCCACGTCTGTGGAAAAAAAGAGCTTTGCGGCTCATAGGATTCCTGCGGCGTGAATCCAGACCCATAAAATTACTTAGAGACCCATAGAATTACATAGAGACCCATAGAATTACTTAGAGACCCATAGAATTATATAGAGACCCATAGAATTACATAGAGACCCGTAGAATTACATAGAGACCCATATAATTACATAGAGGCCCATAGAATTACATCGAGACCCATAGAATTACATAGAGACCTATAGAATTACATAGAGACCCATAGAATTACATAGAGACCCGTAGAATTACAAAGAGACCCGTAGAATTACATAGAGACCCATAGAATTACATAGAGACCCGTAGAATTACATAGAGACCCGTAGAATTACATAGAGACCCATAGAATTACATAGAGACCCATAGAATTACATCGCGACCCGTAGAATTACATAGAGACCCATAGAATTAGATAGAGACCCGTAGAATTACATGGAGACCCCGTAGAATTACAGAGACCCATAGAATTACATAGAGACCCATAGAATTACATAGAGACCCATTGAATTACATATAGACCCATAGAATTACATGGAGACCCATAGAATTACATAGAGACCCATTGAATTACATAGAGACCCGTAGAATTACAGAGACCCATTGAATTACATAGAGACCCACTGAATTACATAGAGGCCCATAGAATTACATAGAGACCCATAGAATTACATAGAGACCCATAGAATTGCATAGAGACCCATTGAATTACATAGAGACCCGTAGAATTACATAGAGACCCATTGAATTACATAGAGACCCATCGAATTACATAGAGACCCATAGAATTACATAGAGACCCATAGAATTACATAGAGACCCATAGAATTACATAGAGACCCATCGAATTACATAGAGACCCGTAGAATTACATAGAGACCCATAGAATTACATAGAGACCCATACACTTACATAGAGACCCATATAATTACATAGAGACTCATTGAATTACATAGAGACCCATAGAATTACATGGAGACCCATATAATTACATAGAGGCCCAAAGAAATACATCGAGACCCATATAATTACATCGAGACCCATAGAATTACATAGAGACCCATAGAATTACATAGAGACCCGTAGAATTACATAGAGACCCGTAGACTTACATAGAGACCCATAGAATTATATAGAGACCCGTAGAATTACATAGAGACCCATAGAATTACATAGAGACCCATAGAATTACATAGAGACCCGTAGAATTACATCGCGACCCGTAGAATTACATAGAGACCCATAGAATTACACAGAGACCCGTAGAATTACATAGAGACCCCGTAGAATTACATAGAGACCCCGTAGAATTACATAGAGACCCATAGAATTACATAGAGACCCATATAATTACATAGAGACCCATTGCGATACATTAAAGACAAGCCACAGTACTGTAGTGCAATCGTGGCCTTGCCATCCAAACTATGGATCATATAGTAAACCCATAGAAAGTCGTATAGATATATAAACGTATAGATGCGTGGAGACCATTCGACATGCAGAGGTACAGCCAATTAATAAAGGTTTGTCCCGTAAACAGAACGCGGCCAATTTGGTTACTGGTTCAGCACTAACCAACCTCATCGGTCCTGTTTCCATCTTAAATAGACGGGGGTAAATGTGATGTCATCACTTGTGAGCCAATCAGGTGTGAGCACCAGAGGAGGGGGTGGGGTTAACATATTAATGTAAACTACAATGGATATCTATTGTTGTATTTCTCCACATCTCTGTGGCTGTCGCCTGATGATGCTGGTTACTGTTGTTGTTGTAAATTACCGGCGAAACGTCACGGTACTCGAATGGTAAATGTTGTGGTGGGTTTACTCTCCAACGCGCAGCCGGTGTGTGCTGAGCTCTTAACGAATTGACCACGTTTTGTTTTCGTGACACACCCTGACCGATTTGGCCGTGTCGGGGTGGCTGCGGGTTTAACGACACCACACTGACGCCATCTAACCCAACAAAACCTCTATGGATAATATCAGTCGCTAAAGCCACCTCCTCCTTACTCTTTGGTTCTATTCGGTAAAGTCACGTAGGTAAAAAAATGAAACAACAAAAATCACGACGTTTCGGCCACAACACAAGTGGCCTTCATCAGGTGAAGGGGACCGTACTGTCACGAGGACAGCGTTGGAGTGAAGACAGTCCAGCCCAGGTTGCGTCCTTTTAAGCTGTGTGGGAGGAAACAAAACGCTTTGACAAAGGAATTTGCATAAAATGACCGAAAAGCACAAGAGGACCGGCACGGAGGGGGGGAGGGGGTGTGAAGTGGAACGTAGAGGACTGGCACGGGGGGGGGGGGGGGGGGGAGTTTACAAATGTAGGTGTGAAGCGAAATAAACTTCTATGAAAGTTTGGTATATCACTATTTGGATAAATACTATTGAAAATTAGTTTAATGTTTGGTATGATTTAGAACATCTTTCCAATGGTTGCTTAATTTGAAACCATCTTCTCGGTTGAAATTGTGTCTGTGCTTGTAAATCTGAATTGCCTCGTGGATAAATCTCTGATGAGGTGTCAAGTTGGGTTACTAGTGGGAGGGGCGGGGGGGGGTGTCACGAGACCTTGCGTGAAACCAGCAAGCGTCGAGGGTCAGCGATGTCGCTCCACCACCGAGATGACTCCAAGTTACCCCACCCTCGTGTGTCCTTCTCCCCGCAGGGCTGCATGGACGAGGACGTCTACTCCTCGCTGGTGCACATCGTGCGCATGTCCCGACCCTCCACGCCCGTCCACAGGCCCTGACCGCGCCTCACCGCCCGCGGCCCCGCGGCCCCCCCGGCGAAGGGGCCTCGCCCATCGTCGCCCAACGCCTCGACTGGGCCTGAGCAGGGACGGGCACTTTTTTTTTGTTCCCGGCGTGAGCGAGCAGAATGGTTTGCTTATCCTCCGGCAATGCCGCGGTGTTTTTTGCTCCCCCCCCCCGGCTTAGCTAAGCAGTGCGCCGCTGGTTCGAGGCGAACGGCGGAATGGCAGCAAAAAGTGGAGGTGGTGGGCGGGGGGGGGGGGGGGTTAGGTGGGGGGACGCTCTCGGGTGCGGGCGCTCATCAACGAGTCGGCACGGCACGTGGGCGGCGGGACGCGGCGACGGCTCGGGGGAAGCCGTCCAGCAGTGGATTGACCACGGCTGACTAACGACGAGCTGTTCAAGTGGGTGAGCTTTGGGCAGTAGCTTGTTTGCCTGCCGGGAGGGATGACGGCCGACGGACGAGACTCGTGGCGGCCCCCGCGGAGACGTCCCCAGCGGAGATGGAGCGAGGGGATCGGCTCGCGTGCCGTGGGGGCAGGGGGGGGGAGGGGGCGGGGCTCGACGGATCGGCGGCACACCGCGTGGCGGTGACGTCACAGCTGGTTGGATCGCACGACGACTTTTGCCACCGATTCCGGGTCGAGCGTCTTTATCCATGAACCGGCTCGCGTCGTCGTCGGAGGAGGAGGGAGGGAGGGAGGGAGGGAGGGAGGGAGGGAGGGAGGGAGGGAGGGAGGGAGGGAGGGAGGGAGGGAGGGAGGGAGGGAGGGAGGGAGGGAGGGAGGGAGGGAGGATGTAAAATGACGTGCAGCTCTTTATCAACCCCCGTGCTGGATCAATAAACGATGCGTTCAGCTCGTAACGGACCACGGTATTCACTCATCATTCTCGGCGCCAGGAGAAACCTCGGATGAGCATCGGGGGGGGAGGTGGGGGGGCAGCCACGTGCCGAGCCGGCACCACACATCTGTCCGAGCTCTGCGATCCTCTAGAGTGGTCTAGACATTGAAAGGTGTTATCGGGCCAACTTGTGAGTGTTTACATGTGGGGCAGGAAACCTAAAACGCGCGAGGGGGAAACGCCGTATCACATACAGACGGAACGGTGGGGGGGGGGGGGGTCCACATCATCGCTGTTACCGCCTTCCTGGCGAGCTAGGAGTACGGCTCCTCCTGGACGCGCCCACTCACGGGGAGGGAGGTTCTCACGATATCCACCACCACCCCCCTCCTCCAAACTCAACGCCAGGTTACAGGCCACGTGCGTATATTGATACACACGTGATTGCACTGCCCGGCTCAATGCATCCCTCGCACGTGATGCTGGTCACCCAATCCCCAGTGCCGGATGAAGCTAGTGCACGGCCTGTAGCATTATGTTATAAAGGGGCCCTAAATATATTTTTAAAAAAACACGTAAATGTTTAACTTGCACAGTAAAGTAATTGTGTTTTTTCATTTGCTGTACAGCCAGATAATACGACACAAACCGCTGACCTTAAACACCCAGTCGTTCATACAAAGTTGAAGGCGGTATAGTACTATAGTGATAGAGCAAGTGCAGAATCACTGAACCGGAATTGATAGCTTGAAAGCATTTAGCGCGGGGCCCTTGAAAGTGCGGGGCCCGTAGCTACTACTACTACATATGTCGTAGCTTGTAGTAGCTACTACATATATGTGTACATATATGTAGTAGCTACTACACATGTAGCTACTACATGTAGTAGCTTGTAGTAGCTACTACATATATGTGTACATATATGTAGTAGCTACTACACATGTAGCTACTACATGTAGTAGCTTGTAGTAGCTACTACATATATGTGTACATATATGTAGTAGCTACTACACATGTAGCTACTACTACATATGTCGTAGCTTGTAGTAGCTACTACATATATGTGTACATACAGAGGTGTTTGCTCACAGGTCATGTTGAACAGGCATAACTGTTAACTCCACGCTGCTTCTTACTTTCCGGATCCGTCTCGTAATGTAACAGCAGTGGTGACGAATTGGCCACGTTCTGTTCACGTGACAACCCTTACTAGTTGGCTGTGTCGGGTGGTGGCGGGTTTTAACGATCTCACCCAAAGCAACCTCTATTGTGGATGATATTGGTCGCGAGAAGCCTCCTGCCACGTGTCAAACGGCTCTTTACCGATACTGTTTGGTTCTATTCGGTAAAGTCACGTAAAAAAACTACAAAAAATAAATAAAAAATTCACGACGTTTCGGCCACAACACAAGTGGCCTTCATCAGGTGAAGGGACCAGACTGTCTAGAGGACAGCGCTGGAGCGAACACAGCCAAGCTCAGACCGCGACCTTTAAGCTGTGTGAGACGAAGCAGAGCGCCTTGACAAAGGAATTGGCATAAAAGTTAGCATTTAATTGGTGGACTTAGCATGATGAACAATGTACAGGGGGGGAGCATGTGCAGACCTGCGAGGGGGGGAGGGGGGGAGAGACTTTACCTTTTCTGCAGTCCTGTCAAAGACAGGGGGGGGGGGCCCTTTGGTTCTCCGTCGTAAAAAAAAATTGTACAATGTTAATAAACACATAATAGGGGTGTGATGAAACAAAAGTGTTACTCAACGTGTTTCGATGATTTTACCGTCTAAAAAAATATATATAATCTGGCACAAGCGAAGAGCCCCATTGGTCTAGAGACCCCCGATTAGCGAGTGCCCACGTGTCAGACGTGACACGTGGGCATGGCTAGACAAAGCGTCCCATTGTAAGACGGCGGCAGGGGTAGGAGGGGGTGGTGTAGCTTTGTCTACAGCCTCGGAGTGGAAGTCGCGGCCGCGTTGTTCTGGCAGGCGCTGGTGGCTCAAAAGCTTCAAATCCAGATTGGCCAAGACTCTCAGGGACGCGTTTTCGTCTTCTATTTTCTTAACCTACACCACCACCCCCCACCAACCCGTGCCTAACAACAGAGGGCCTTGTGAGAGATCTCACGCAAATATCTCATCTGTAGTCTCAACGGACTGTGTGTGTGTATGGGGGGGGGGGGCAGGTGCTGTTAGCGAGTGGCACCTATGAATGCTGGCACGGCACACGAGGGGGTGGGTCAGAATCTGAATTTTTGTTCATACCGGGGGGGGGGGGGAAATCCGATGAGCTATAAAGCTCTTTTTCACAGATGTCCAGTAGTGTTTCGCAGCGACCTTTGTCTTCCCAGTGGCGATGTTTACACACAGCACCAGGTACTGATTTCAGGCTGAGTCGACCTAGGGGAGGCCCAGGACCGGTTCAGATAATCGTCACTGTTGTTGGCCGTGAACTGGAACCGCCGGGTTCGTAGCGCAGGGCGCTACCCGCTACACTACCGTTCCAAAGACAAAGATCCCCCGTATAGCCTCACCAGGGTGTTGGGGCAAGTGGTGTTTGCAAGCGAATCGGAAAATTAATTAATACTCTAGGAGGAATCCGATGAGCTGTGAAGCTCTTCTTCACAGATGTCCAGTTGGAGCACGGGGTCCGAACGTAACAACAACAACAAACAATACAAACACGCAATAGAGGAGTGCAACGTATAAGAAAGGTAAACAAATTACTTTTAAAACACTTATACAAATACAACTAAACTATTCAGGCCAGCAAGGTGCACGTGTGTGTTGGACACACACACACGCAATGGGGAGCGGTGGTGTGGCGGTTAGCGCCACGCTGCGCTACGAACCTGGCGACCCGAGTTCGATTCCCGCTCACGGTCCAACACCACCAGTGACGATTGTCTGAACCGGTCCTGGGCCTCCCGTAGGTCGACTCAGCCTCAAATGAGTACCTGGTGAGATGTGTAAACATCGCCACTGGGGAGACAAAGGCGGCCGGGCGTGGTTCTGGCCACCCACCCCCTCGTGTACCGTTCCGGCCTTCATAGGTGCTCGCTAACAGCACTTGCCCCAACAGTCTGTTAAGGCTACACGGGGGATCTTTATATTTTTGCGTGACATACACACACGCAAACACATTGTGTATGTGTACACCACGCACACAAGACACAACACAAGACACACAGCACACACACGCAAACAAAGTGTGTGTGCTGTGTGTGTGTACAACACGCACACGCCATACGCACACACAGCACAACACACACACAACACAAGACACAACACACACATTGTGTATGTGTACAACACACAAACCACACACACACCACACACAACACACACAACACACACAGCACAACACACATTGTGTATGTGTACAACACACACACAACACAAATTGTGTGTATATACAACACACACAACACATACAACACAACACACAGCACAACACACACACATTGTGTATGTGTACAACACACACACATTGTGTGTATATACACCACACACACATTGTGTATGTGTACAACACACACACATTGTGTATATACACCACACACAACACACACAACACACATTGTGTGTATATACAACACACACAACACAAGACACACAACACACAGCACAATACACACACATTGTGTATGTGTACAACACACATTGTGTGTATATACACCACACACAACACACACAACACACACAGCATAACACACACACATTGTGTATGTGTACAACACACACACATTGTGTATGTGTACAACACACACATTGTGTATGTGTACAACACACACACACACATTGTGTATATATACACCACACACAACACACACAACACACATTGTGTGTATATACAACACACACAACACACACAGCACAAGACACACAACACACACAGCACAACACACACACACATTGTGTATGTGTACAACACACACACATTGCGTGTATATACACCACACACAACACACACAACACACATTGTGTGTATATACAACACACACAACACACAGCACAAGACACACAACACACACAGCACAACACACACATACAATGTGTATGTGTACAACACACACACATTGCGTGTATATACACCACACACAACACACACATTGTGTGTGGTGTACATACACACATTGTGTGTGTGTACAACACACACACAACACACACAACAGACATTCCACAACCGCACCACCGGTTCTGCTTCTCCTTCACCGCAAGGCGCGTTGCGTGTTTATTTATTTATTTGCTTCTATAGAGAGCGCGTGGCTTGCAAACTCGGAGCGAGGAATGCAGCAAGACGCCGTTTCGCTGCTCTTGTGAATGAATGACTGGTTTGGGTTGGTGCTCCTCACTCATTCACTGAATGAATTAATGACTGGTTTTGGTTGGTGCTCTTCACTCATTCACTGAATGAATTAATGACTGGTTTGGGTTGTTGGGTGGTTGCTCTTCACTCATTCACTGAAGGAATGAATGACTGGTTTGGGTTGGTGCTCTTCACTCATTCACTGAATGAATGACTGGTTTGGGTTGGTGCTCTTCACTCATTCACTGAAGGAAATAATGACTGGTTTGGGTTGGTGCTCCTCACTCATTCACTGAAGGAAATAATGACTGGTTTGGGTTGGTGCTCCTCACTCATTCACTGAAGGAATTAATTACTGGTTTGGGTTGTTGCTCTTCACTCATTCACTGAATGAATTACTGGTTTGGGGATTGCTCTTCACTCATTCACTAAATGAATGAATGTCTGGTTCGGCTTGTTGCTCTTCACTCATTCACTGAATGAATTACTGTTTTGGGGATTGCTCTTCACTCATTCACTAAATGAATGAATGACTGG